TAAAATATGTAAAATGTATGTATGTATGTGCTATTCATCTTTACCAGAGTGAAAATGAATAAACAAAATGCTGAATGATTTTCATTTTGTAAAATAGTTTGTTGTTTGGAAACTAGCATGCAGAAAAAATAAAATATGTCACCATTTGATGCGGTCAAGTGGTGCTTGTCTTAGTTGTGCATTATTCAGGATTTAGGAGGACTTTCAACTTGTGACCAAAAAAATGTCATGTTAATGTTTACATGCTGTCATCTAGAGTCAGTAATCAGATATGGTCCAATACAGGAGTATCAGATATCCTAATTAGATTTACAGACCCAGTGGTGGCTTTCAATGGTGGATTAGGTGTCTCCTTCAAAAATCCCCCCAAAAGTTTTAGATTACCTGCTTCTCAAATATTCATGACTCTCAAGGCAACATTTGCTGTCTTTTCAATGCAGCCAGTGAAGTCGTTGGGTGTGTGCTCAATTTATCCTCCTACAGTTATATGTATATTCTATGACTATGAGTGGTAATATGAATAGTCCTTACATTGGTATGTAAAAAGTATTTAGAATGCATGTGGTAATATATGGGTTGTTATCAGAGACTGACATACTGTGTTGTATGTTTTATTTTTTACTCAATTTCACTCAAATCGGGTGTTACATTAAAGTCACGTAAATACTTGTAAAGAGCTTTATAAATGTCACGGCACACTGTGTTCTCTGTTGTGCTGACGGACGTAATATGTCTGTCATATTAAAAACTAAGATTCCTACTTTCCCAATGCTTCCTTGTATCCTCTTTTAGACTAACACACAGCCAGTAAAAACAAACAAACTACACGACACAGAGTCTTACGAGCAGCACTTCAACGCACCTTCTGTTGTGTACAGTCGGAGTGACGTCACCCGTGCTCACCGGAGCGCGATCACCGCCTGTCACCCAGAGCAGCCGAGCAGCCTGCGGCTCCGTCCGTCTTCTCCTGCTCCGGGAGGAAGTTGGACTGCCGCTGCCGCTGAGCATCCGTATGAGGGACTTACACCTCATTACTGTCACCCTGAACGTACGTTGGTGTGTCTGAAGGATACGAGTCGTAAGTGTCCCCGCTTTTGTCCAACTTTTTGCACTTTTCAGCCGAATAGTCAGACACAGAAACAGCTCGAAGGTACTTTGTATTATCTTTCCAGTGACACGGATGGCGTACGTGCTGTGGTGTATAGCGTTATTATCGTATGCTTACTATTTTTTCATTAATGACGAGCATTGCCTGCATTAGTGTAGTGTTAGTGTTAGTTTGCTCCCACAGTAGTTATAATGGCTTATTTATAAGGGGCTTAGTACTGTTAGTCTCTTGCACAGAGGGTGTTGGTATGTTTAAGTTTATTCAGTTATGTGGCTGACTGTAAATGACTCAGAAGATCACAGTAAAATAGTCTACCTATTTTCTTCTGCCGAGCATGAGATCACAAATGTACTGTCTTCACTGAAATAGTTAACATTCTGATAACATTATGTTTTATTCATTTGACCGCCTAATCTCCTCTGTGTGCTTATGTATATTGTTTGTGACCCCCTCAGCCAAGTCAAGCCTTTATAAAATCAAAACTCTTATCTTAACGCACCATGTTTTTAAAAGATACACCTCTGAAACCTGCCTGTCTGTGCATGTCTCTTCATACGTTGGCCTGCTGTTGATGTCCAATGCATTTCCCATGTCCCTTTGCCTGCTAGAGAACAGGAAACAAGGGGCAGGAAACGAGGCGTGCGTGTGTGTCCTGCTGTAACGCTGTGCTGTGTGTGTCTCTGTTGCATGGGACATCTGGTACCTTTCTGATTTGCATTATCTCGCAACCGATCGCTGACTTTTATTTGCTAGGCTTAGACCTCACTCGATGCGTCTCACCTCCCTGTCTGGATTAGGGTCAAACACTAAGAGGATTTAAGACTGCAGAGTCAAAGTTACTCACGAGGGGCCGGTTCGTGTTTTGTTAAAAGGATTCAGGGAGGACTTTTTTTTGCGATGCAGGCGTTTAGGCTGAAGGCCATGTCCCTAAGTGATATACCAGACTGTTTGGAGGTCTTTGAAAGTAGCGGGGCAATCTCAAAGCCCTTGGTACACTGAGGAGTGCTGTATATCATGAAGACAGCTCATTTGAAATGTGGTGGTCCTGTTGTTTTGAACTGAGTGTATTTCCTGTGTGGACGTACTGTAATTAAACTTGGATTGAAGTAGGGAACTGTGGGAAAGCTTTCTGGTTATCAGTCATCTAACAAAGACAGTCTGGAGGTCCCCCCCCCCCCNNGGGCCCCCCCCCCCCCAGCCTTGATATGACACTTGAAGGTTGAAGATAACACACCGGGAGAGTAATCTCACCCTGCCTCCTCCTGGCATATTTCTTAAACTCCGATTATGACTCTGAATATGGTTTGAATGGGGGGGGTGCTGTGTCAATACACCATCAACAAGCCTACGGTTCGGTAATCAAATGACCACCACTGTAAATTTGCATAGAGCATCCGAGTTACAGATCACATTTTGCTATAATTATGGAGTTTGCTTCTCGGTGGATTTGTTGGAGTTGTTTATGCCAGGTTAGGCCTAGGGTCGGCCCTTTGAATTGGGATTTCATCTTCTTGCTCGGTTGTTGAACCACATTGGAAAAGACATCGATTGTAAACAAAGATTATTGCTCAAATAATAAATGGGCCATATCACAATAACATGAGATAAAAGGACATCAGCTTGTCTTATCTTCATTCACTTTGAGTGGAAGCAGCGATAATACTCAGCCCGGCTTTGCATCTTACTTTAGATGCAAACCAAGTTTTCCTTCGTTCATGCTTGTCTAAATAAGCTGTTAAACACTGAATGTCATTAGCACAGGCACCTGTTGATCGAACTTGTAAAATATATTCATAAATAAAAAAAAAATGGATGAAATGTTAGTGAG